GCTGAATCCTCTTACCCCACTCCTCATCTCTGACCTAAACCCCAGCTGTTACATGCATAAATAAATAAAATAAATCTTAAAAAAAAAAAAAACTCAGGCTATCCTATGAACTAGAAGCGCTTTCTGTGCTGTGCCTCACTTAATCCTCACAAAACCTTTGTAATTAAACTCCACTTCCTCAATATTACAGATACAGAAATTAAGGCTTACAATACAGGTAATTTTTCTGAGGTTACCAAACTCATAAGTAAACAACGAGTTAGAATTCTAAGATAGGCAATTTAACCCCAAAATTCAAGATCTCACCTTTGAAATCATTACTAAACAGCCAATTCTAAGTGGGTTGACTATTAAGTTTTGTAAGCGTAGAATTGTATCTTTTGGCACAGAATGAATCTTTTGAGAAGATTTAAAACAAAAAGTCTAGAGTAAATTGATTTCTTCACTGTCAGTAGTTTTCAAGCTTTTAGCAACTAACTAGGAACTGTCCACAAGTTATTTTTTTCCTAAAAAGTCTAAGTCTTGATTTAGTGTTTACTCAAAGTTTATAGGTGATCAGCTGACTCTATTATCTAACACACTTGTTAGGTAATATGGTTCAAAGGAAGCAAATATTAAGTACACATTCCCATGCTATGAAGAAAGATGTAAACATCCAAAGATCAATGAAGAGGAGTTTTTAAATCATTCTTTCCAAAAAGTATAAAAGGCCCTAATCTGCACCCAGCTAAGGGTAAATGTTAGTACCCTATTCTGAAGGTCCTGAAGAAAGTCAACCAGGGAAACCATAAATACATAATTAAGAAAGGTCTTAGAACCAACTACGAGATGAACATGTTTTCTATCCCTTGCACGTTTTCTATCCAATCCCTTGAAAACACAAAGATTCACTATTAAAAGGAAAAGTACACCATTTCAAAATGGTTTAAGCTATAAAAGGTGAATAATAAGAACATGTGTAGACACCAAGATGAAAAGAGACATAAAAGTATGTATAGAACAAGAGAGTAAACATAGAAGGAACAAAAGGTATGTTTAGCACAATGCACATGTTAATACTTCAAATAAAAAACATCCACAAGACCCATTTTAAAGGCTCCAGAAAACACTCTTATTAAAAATTTCCCCAGGGCCCTCCCTGGTAGCACAGTGGGTTAAAGTACAACACTAAGAAACTAAAGCCACTTCAGCTTCAGAGTTTGATCCCTACCCCGGAGATGATCCATGTTGCGTGGCAGATCTCTCCTGGCCTGCCTGCTGCTCCCCTCAGCAGTGTACTTCATTGATCTGCCTGTTCTGCTCCCCATTGTCTGGGGTGAAGCCTTTCACCACCCCGATAACTCTGGCATATACCCCAGTTCTGTATGCACAAATAAATAAATCTTAAAAAAAAAAATCACAATTGTGAGACATTAAAAAAAAAAAATTCCCCAAATCCAACTTCCCTTCAAAATTTCTCCTTTTCCAAGGAACTCTCCTGCACTGCTGCTGGTGGGAATTCAAACTAATACAACCACTATAGAAAACTGTTTGGAGGTTTTCCAAACTGCTAAAAATGGAGCTTCCATACAAGCCAACAATCCCACTCATATGTATCTACCCAAAAGACACAAAAACACTGATTGAAAGAGACACCTGCACCCCCATGTTTACTGCTGCTTTATTTACAATAGGAAAGATATGGAGTCAACCCAAATGCCCAAAAGTAGATGACTGGATTAAAAAGATGTGGTACATATACACAATGGAATATTACTCGGTAATCAAAAAAGATAAACACATGCCTTTTGCAGTAACATGGATGGAGCTAGAAGGGATCATGCTTAGTGAAATAAGGCAGAGCGAAAAAGAAAGTAGTAGATGGTTTCACTCATAGCAGGAGTACAAAAGACTGGATGGGGAAAAAAAAAAAGATAATGAACAACTATATAACAAAGACATTTTACAGGGGTGGGTAGAGAGTGGGATCAAAAACTGGGTTGTGGTGAGGAGTGCACTGAACTATGGCAATGGCACACAGGTGATTTGGTGATGGAATGCCCACAGGGATTACAACTGAAATGGAAAAAGGCACAAAATGATGTAAAAATAAACTATTACATTATTTTAAAAAAAAAGTTCTCCTCCTTTTCCATCGATGATAGCAACAGCATCAGTCAGACTTGAAACCATAGAAACATAAACAAATCCTCACACGGCCCCAATATTCTCAGTCTCTTTAAGTCCTATTCATTCCTCCTGGGAAATATCTCCCCTATGAAATGTCTCTTGTCAAGGGCCTCTAGAAAGGCTCTTCCATTCTCTCCAGCACTGAGACCTCCTCATTAGTGAACTAGTCATGACCTCATTCACTGATACTTTCACTCACTTATTCAGCACTTATTAAAATATTGCCCTTCTCCATCAAACCACCATCCCAAAAAGGAAACAGATACAAATTAATGTACTGTTTTAAAAATAATAACACCTTATTCAGGCCCTGTTGTGTGACAGTTGCTATTCCTACACAGTAGTATTTTATTTAAATCCTCACAATAGCCCTAAAAAGTCTGTATTATTATCTTCTGCAAAGACTAAGGCTCAATGACGTGAAGTAATTCCTAAGATCACATTGCTAGTAATTTGCAGAGTGGATTCCACAGCAACTACTTCTATCTTGTAGTGAATCTACTTTATCAACTCATAAACTTTCCAATCCAGTCTACCCAGTGCTACCAGATTCATTTTGTACTTGTAAGTCCTTTAGTTTAAAAAAAAAAATGTCAATGGCTTGCTTAGCCTGGTCTTTAGTCTGACTTTGAAATTTAAAAAAAAAAAAAAAAAAACACCAACCTAGATTGTGGTTATCAGTACCTTGGTAAAGCTCATAATATGGTATCATACATTAGAATCAGTGTGGCCTCACTCCTAAAACATTTTACCACATATAAAAAATAAAAAACCTGTAAGTGAATCCTCTTTCCCTTACTAGTTCTGAATCTTAGAAGTCACTTAATCTCTCTACACTTCAGTTTTTTTGCCTGTAACAAGGGGATAAGATGAGTAGTGTCAGAATCGAATAAGAATATGTAAAGGTCTAAGCACATAAGTGTCCAAGAAAAAAGAGTTGCTACTGCTCATTATTCCTGAGTTTTAACAAATCAATATACATATTGCTCCTCTTACAAAACCACTTAAGATTTCTGTCTCAATGCACACACTATTCTCCCTTCATTAAAAGGTATCCTATACATATTTACTAAACAATGCTACATCTGTCCATCTTTATCTGTGTCCATGCCATGTCAAATTCCACCAAGAAGCCTTCCCTAGTCACCTTTAATGTACTTCAAGATAACTAACCAGCCACCGGAGTAAGGGGAAAAAAAGATTTCTAATTATTCAAGACTATTCTGGACTAAAAAATAAGTGACAAATCTTTAAAGCATTGTTTCACTTAATTCTTACAAGAAAAAGCAAAGTAACATACAGTCAAACATCTAGTTATTGATGAAGCTGACACCCCACCTTGTCTTTTGGGACCTGGGGTTACACACTTAATCAACTATTGGACACTTTGAAAGAGAAAAGTATTACAACATGCTCTAAGTAGCCCCAGTCACACATACAAATATAAATGAAGTAATCCTTATGCTTTCTAATATTTTCTATTATTTTTTATTAGAGATAATAATATTTCTATTATTTTTTATTTCACTTAAAATATGGGTGAGCTCCCACTAATTTTACTTGTGACTATTAAGTATTGATCTAAAGTTTGAAGTACACAGAGGTACAAGAAAAATAAGGCCAAATGAGATGGAGGATTTATACTCAAGAAGTATTTAATCTAGTTGGCTATATCATGGTAAAACTCAAGCTCTTTTCATGCCCTCCCTACACCATCCCAAACTGATGGGAAAAGAACCATTCCCTGGCAAATCAAGCTCAAAGAAAGTCAGCATCTTCTGTATTATCTCTACAACAAAATCAGAACTTCAAGTGGTACTACAAAATATACTTGCAGGCTTACCAGTGCATAAATCCAAATTATAATTCCATGAGAGGAAAGAATTAATTGACCACCCACTGAATATTGAATGGAACTTTTAGGAAAAGCCAAAAATATGTGATTTCTGACTTCTTAGGGCACAGGCTCTATTGGACAAATAAATAAATTGATAGACTCTATTTCAACAGCCAAATCTTTCAATAATAAATCTTTGGATTGATTACCAAGGACAAGGTTATGAGGAAGGGAAGGGGGAGGGAGAAATGAAGGAAAGGTGGGAAGAGGGGAACCCTCAGATGTTAGTGACAACATTTAGGAACAAACGTCTCTAACAGTTTTCAGTAACAAACACATTTCAAAATAATCTCTATTTAAAAACTCCAAATTCAGACTGCTTTACAGGGAAAAGTGTGTGATAAAGGAAGGGCTCTGATGACAAAATCATATTTCTAATTACCTTCACTGACTCAATCGCAACCTAAAATCTCAACCAGGAGTTCATTTTGTGAACTTGCAAAAACTGTCTGCAAAACCATCGAGCCACAATACTACCAACACAAACTGACAAGTCTGAGCCACAGGGACCTGCTGTCACATATACCTTTTTTTAAAGGGGCGCTTGGAAGGATAATAAATCAGTATTAGATGATTCTGTTTTACATCTCCATCACATAGCAGAAGAAAGGAAACATAAAGCAGGTCCCTGGATTCACATTTTTAAGTGTCCCTAATCTTAATCATAAAGTTGGGTGCTCATTCTCTTCCCAACACCAGGCATTCAGATGACAGTTCAACCACCAATTCCCCTGCCCAGCTCTTGTCCCGAGTGGGACTCAGGATATCGGTTCCTTGCAACCACCCCGACCCCAACCACCCCCCAAAACCACTCTGGCGCCCTCCACTAGAGAAAGTGACAACGCAAGTATCCCAGGGCCCGGAGCTCTACTGCACCCCCTAGCCCATCCTCCACACTCAACTCGCCCTGGAAATTGGGGTCGACGGGTCTCACCAAATACAGGGGGGCATAGACCTTTAAGGACTCCTCCAACGCGCCCCCGGTGATCTGCAGGAAAGAGACCCCGCAGGAAGGGTGCCAAGTGTGGCCGATCTCGTAGCAGTTATGAGGGATGGACTTGCTGAGAGCCGCCATGACGAGGAACCGCGCGCAGAGACCCGGGGTGGGTGAGCTGAAGCGGGGCGGGAAGGGGAAGGAGGGCCTAGAGCTAGCGCCCAACCGCCTTTGGCCTTCCGGGCCGGCCCCAGAGGTGCGGAATGGAGGGGAAAGGTCAGGCGAACGGGGTTACTCTCGGCCAAAGTCCTCGGATGTTGAGCGCTCGACGTATCGCAGCTCGAGGGGGCGGGGCGCGCTCCGGGAAGGCGGGCAGAGGCGGAGCGTGCGCGCTCCCTGGAGCGGCCTCGGCCGGGGCGCGCGCCCGCCGTCCGCGCCGGCGCCTCGCTGGGAAATGAGCTTGGCTCGGGTATGCGTCTGCCTCCCAGCCCCTCGCAGGGTGCGTGCACTGCGGCCGGGTGCGCAAGGATAGGTGACTTGGGTCACGTTGCACTCCAAGCTGTCCTCGCACCGCCCGGCCAAGTAGAACTGAAGGCCATGGAAGAAAGGGATTAAGTGTCTTTGTTGGGAACTGATAAGAGGAGGGTTGCCAAAAGAGAACCTGGGACAAATGTTCTCCCCCTAACTGAACTCCCTGTCCCTACAGTGCCAGTAATAAATAGCAAAGTTGGTCTGTTGCTTTTGAAAAGTCACTTAGCTATGTTTATTGACCTCTGGTGTGGGAAAAGGGTGGTGAAGCCCAAACCCTGTACAACTATCCTGTCTACAGCATCTTTGACAACTGCTTGACACCCCTTTTTTAAAAAAGATTTATTTATTTATGCATACAGAACTGGGGTGCAGGCCAGATGTGCAGGGGCTGTGAGAGGATTCACCACAGCCAGAGTGCGGTGCAGAACAGTCACCAGACTGAGTACTCTGCTGAAGGGAGTAGCAGGCAGGCCAGGAGAGGTCTGCCAGCGATGTGGGTCACTGCCCTGCCTGGGGATCAAACTCTGACCAAAGCAGCTGGGGCCAGCTTCTCAGTGCTGCACTTTAACCCTTTGCGCCACCAGGGAAGTCCCTGCTTGACACCCTTGACAGCCAAATAAGACCCACGAAAAGGCCGCAGTGGTGATTAAAATCATACCTGGCTGGAGAACCTGGCCTACAGTTGATATAATAAGAAAACAGTGTGAACTATAGTCATATATAACCCCTCTAAATGTTAGTTTCCTCATCTATAAAACCTTCCAAGTTCTTTGAAATTCTGCATTCTAGTTTGTTAAAGCAGAAACTTCATACCTTAGAGAAATCCAATTTCAATCTAGTCTTCATTCATTCAGCAGATATTTACTGAGCACATAACTATCTTCCAGGCACTTTTCAAAGCTCTGTGACACAGACATGTACTAGAGAAACTAAGTTTTCACTTTCCTCTCCCAGTGCCAAGAATCAGAACCCGGCGACCATAAGGGCTTGATGGCTTCTAAAGTTGCAGTGAATAATGAAGTCACCAAACCTTTTGATAATATGAAAATAAGGAAATCTTCTACAGAAAAGCTAAGAAAGAAAGAGAGAGAGAG